TTCATACATTCTTATATATTTCTATACTGTGTATTGTGTATTTTGTTGTACAGTTATTTTATTTTCAACTTTAATTTACATATTCTATCTTATTCTTTCCCAGTTAAATTTACCCTTCATTCTAATTTGTGTTGTACAGTTATTTCATTTTTAACTTTCATTTTTATATTTTATTTTATTCCTTCCTAGTTAAATTTACCCTTTTTAATTTTCATATTTATTTCCTATCTTATTCATAGCCTTTTCTTTTTTTCTTTAGGTCACGAGCAGTTGTGTAAGCATTTCACTGCATATCTACTGTGTATGTGACAAATAAAATTTGAATTTGACTTGAACTACAGGCCTCTAAGGCCCATCTCCTGCAGGTTTTAGGTCTCACCCTGGGTCAACACACCTGAATCAAATGATTAATTCATTACCAGGCCTCTGGAGAACTTCAAGAGAGGTTGAGGAGGTCATTTAGCCATTTAAATCAGCTGTGTTCAAGGACACATCTAAAACCTGGTCTACAGTGTGCCCAGGTGGAGGTAAAGTAGCAACAGCCCTGTAAGCTCCTCACAGGTTAATCCAGTCAGAAACAAGGAAACTGTCATTGCTTCATTACTGCACTTGTAGCCACACACTGTGACTGTTATCATAGAAGATACATTTCCTCACTAAAACGAGCGGAACCGCGTGAAAAATCTCACTTGCAGATGCCACCAGCCTTTCTTCAGTGACTCTCTAACATGGTCCACAAACATGTAGACTGATCAATTATTTCTAATTAAATATTAATTCAAACTTAATGCAAACTTCAGTATGGGTAAATAATATAGGAATAAAAGCAGTTCACCGACTCTCCTTTCAAATAAACCCCACAATAAAGCGTATGTAGCTCACCTCGGCAGGTGACTCCTCCACACATATAAGCTGCCAACATAAAAACAAGCCAGCATCAGACAGAACAGTACTGACAACCAACACAGGCCGTCGGGAGGGACCAGCTCTCCACTGCTGTGCTGCATCTTCTCTGTCAAAAAGTTGGCTGGTAAATCATCTTCCTCTGTCATAATGAAGGCGAGCCACGACTAAACCAAACAGCTGCTAGGAACCAGAGGTGCTGTTGGGTCATTTACCAAGATAAAACATTGGCCCGCACGAGCTATGAAGCTGTCAGTAAGCTCCTTTCAAATTGCGGGCTAACGGAGCTAACTGGTTTGCTAACGTCTACGGCGCTTTCTGATTACGTCATCGTAGCTCCTTTCCGATATTTACTGGTGCTACCGTTAGCGTCCTCTTCGTCTTCTTCTTGGTCGTGGCCGTATGAGATATACGATGCGTTTAATCGACGATGCAGGGTGTGTTACAAAAGTTCGCGATGGCCAAATGAAACTTTCTGAAGCTTGTATCGAAAAATGGTTACTCGAAGCTTTTCAACACTGATCTCTTTGGTGACATCTGGTGGCCAAAAATATGAAACGCAGCTTCAATCTACAACTTGATATTAACCTCATTGAGCTTCATATGAGCTTCATTATGACTGCCCGCTCTACAGAGGTGAATTGACAGTTTCGGTTTAATATCATGTAACAGTTCTGCAATATCGGAATATTTTTTTTATTATTATTATTATTGGGGTTTTTTTTTTGGGGGGGGGGAGGGGTGAGTGTTATTTGATTAATAAATACTTTGGATCATTTGAACATGTGCCACACTGTTCTCCTCTTAGTTCCTCCACAGGGACATCTGCTGGCCTAATTTGGCTATTACTACATCTTCATAATGCTTTCCTGTGAAGCAATGCCAAACAAAGCTACTTATTACACCAGACTGTCAATAATGGTGATCAACTCTGAGGAGTTTGGAGAAATCCTCACACAATCAAGGCAAGAAAAATATTGAGCAGGCTGTGACTGTAACAATTAGTGTCTCCATTTGTTAACATTTGCGTTGCTCATAATAAACCAATTTATTAAGTCAAACATACAGAGAAACGACTGCTGTGTTTGCTGTGATACACACAGAAACGTTCCTGAACTTTATCAGTGTGAGTCTGGAGTTTTGGTCATAGTGTACCTGCATAACTGGGAAGAAAAGGGGGATAGGAAAAAACACATCTGTCATGAAATTGTTTTTCTATAATATAAATATAATTTTTATGGCGGCGCAGTGTGTGAGTAACAGATTATAGTGAGGATGATGTCACTTAATGCTACAAATAACATCTTCTGTTGAAAGCAGGAAAAATTGCGAGCACAGACGGACTCAGAGCTGACCTGCCTGTTTTATTTTCTCCTTGAAAGCAGAGGTCATTTTTATTAAGATATTTTAAGGATTTTACAGCCCAGTTGTTTTTATATCTATATAATGTATATTTGATTTTGCTTTGGGTTCCAGTGTTTAAGTGAATGGATAGGCTAGTCTTCCCAATCACCCCAACACTCTTGAGGATTCTCCAGTTTTCCAGTGTTTGGTTCACTCGGGTACATTTGGACCTCCACTATCCACAGTGACATTTCACGTCCTCCCTGCAGGACATCTCTTCAGACTTTCAGCCATTGCTGTGGTCTCTGGAATTAGTATAATTCCCTTTTCTTCATCCTCCAGCATCATTAGATGGGCAGCGCTTTTAGACATGTGCAATAATTTCACACTGTTCTGATGAGAGGGCTAATGTCAGTGTGTAGGCCTGCCAAAGGTGCTCCTACAGGTTATCCGAGGTCATAAACACATTGGAGCATTTGGTATGTGCAGTTTCAATGTGTATCCACCTCTTGAATTAGCTTCTGCACCCGTCCAAGGCAGGTGTTCAGTGCAGGCCAGGCTGATTTGCTCCTGCACCTCTGTCAGACTCTATAACAAAATTAGCCAACAAAAAGTGATGAATTCAAGTGTCACTGCAGCAGCAACTTAAACAATATGGTGCCATTTAGAATAAAAGAACTCTTCTTTTCAGTGGTACTGAAAAGTGGTAACTGGTGACTTTGTAATTCCCCAATGAGTCAATTCAGCACTTTGTTACAGCGCTGAAGCTACAGGTGAAAGACTGTAACTATAAGAATAATGACCAAATGGTCAGGGACTGTATTGTATTTGGAACTTGCTCATCAATAGTAAGGGAAAAGCTGCCCAGCTAAGGAGCAGACCTAAACAGACATAGGCCCCTCCCATGAGTGAGCTCAGATGCAGCTAAAGGCTATGGCTAGCAACAGCCACGAGGTCCACTCAATACCACATAAACATGGAAGAAAAGGCACAGTAGGGCACGCTGATAGGTTACGCGAAAGGTTAGAAGCACCAGTTACGGCACGTGAGACATCCCAGTACACAAGCAGAATGCTTGACAGTGTCTGAAATACAAAAAATATTAGTTTGCAAAAGCCTATAGAACGAAGTTTCACATGAATCAGGTCGTTGAGAAGTGCGCTCCATCAAAGAAATCCATGAGGACTCAGAACTGTTTGTGGTTACTGTTACTGTAACTGAAGATGAGGCTGGCGCACATGCAGACAGAGAACTTGGATGCGAAAATTTAAAGACAATATTCAAGCTGGATACCAGTGCACAGACCAGCATCATCCCCTCATGGCAAATAAGGGGCACTCTTCCTCTTAAAACCATGGATTTTTTTTGCACCCAGCATTTAACACAAGCTTCTTTTTTTGTCTTGTTGTGATACAGCCTGAGTTTATAATCGGTCTATAACAGGGGTGGGCAATCTCAGCCCACGAGGGCCGGTGTCCTGCAGGTTTTAGATGTGTCCTCGAACCAACACAGCTAATTTAAATGGCTAAATTAGCTCCTCAACATGTCCTGAAGTTCTCCAGAGGCCTGGTAATGAACTAATCATGTGATTCAGGTGTGTTGACCCAGGGTGATATCTAAAACCTGCAGGACACCGGCCCTCGTGGACTGAGATTGCCCACCACTGGTCTATAATCTTTAGTAATATAATTGATCTTAGTTTCCCCAGTACCCTTTTGTCTTTACCCTGTTTGGGGATGAGGATTGTTATGCCTGTTCTTTGTTTTCTATGTTTCAGAACTTGGTTGTAAGTCCATCCAACCTTTCAGTGCAGGTTTTAGAATCATGTCCAATTTCTCTGACTTTAGGTCAGAGACACAATACAAATAATTCATTCATTTTTGAACATGAAACCTTTTGTTGTTTTTTTTCACAACTTGAATATGCAGATGAATAAAGTATAAAATTGCAAAGCTTCTTTGCTTTTTTGTTGTTTTACATGGTTGCATGGTCATAAATGGTTGCATCGCTTTGTCTCTATTTTTAACAGCTCATGGTTTTCCTGATACATTTATTTAACGTATCATATTTTGCCACATATTCCTTATTGTAGAATTCTGTAACACAACCTTTTGTTTCAAATTGGCTTGAAAGGTTTTTTTATTGAATAAATCACGCAAATAAAGCTAAATAATACTAGATTTCCTTGACAAACAATCACCAATGAACATCTATATACATTTCTTACTTTATTGGCCTCCAAAAATGGAAATCATTCGGTAAAGAACACCTGCTGTTACCATTTCTGTCCTGTAAATCTACATTTCAGTGACATTGCAAAACGAAAAATACTCCTAGCAGACACACTGAATGATCTGAAATGACTAGCATATAATAAATTGAACTGTGTATTAATCTTTGTGTTATTTTATTGTATTTTTTTATTACTTGTCTTTTATTATTTTATTCTATTATGATTGATGTGTTGTTGTTTTAAGAAACTGGCTGTATGGCACTTTTGAACTGAGCTGAGGAGAGAGAGGGGGAGACAGAGGTGACATCGCTGTCTGCCGTTATTTGTGGGAGAATCGATTCTGGCGTAAGATGAACGGAAGAGAGATGATATTGCTTGTGATGCTCTGCGCTTCCTGTTCTTCTCCATCACTCCTCTTTACGCTTCCCAGGCCGTGCGGCGACTGAAGCCCCCGCAAATATTCCCGTCAACAGGAGGAATTCCACACAGATCCGAGCCGTCCTGGACCTCTGCTGGCAAACATCCGCGGGTACGGGCCTGTTTATCCCCATTTTCCATCACCTGTCTTTCTTACAGCTTTCCTCTTACAGCAGCTTCCTCTACAAAACATCAAATGTCAGGAGACGCAAGCCGGCCTGTCTTGTGCTTTATTCCTCCTCTGGAGAGGTGATGGGAATCCAAGTCGCCTTTTAATTCGTGGATTGTTGACTTTATCGCCTATTCAAGGCTGACGTGAGTCTTTATGAGGTAAAGAGATTTATGTGATGTCAGACTAATGTGAGTGATGAAGAACGGGTTTCGTTTGGTTGTTATATCGGCTCCTGTGTACATGTCGTGCACAGATATGCGTGCTTCTGCATGGAGGGTGTGTGCTCGCAGTATGTAGCTTATGTTGTTCGTGCGGGGGGAATCACCTGTGTACAAACGCTTGCGTTTGCATTTCGCTGGATTCTACGTAAATGTCTTATTTTTCTCTGTGTAGCCTGTTTGTGTGATCACATCTGCTCAGATTACTACACGTCCTCCGTGCACACAAAAACACGGCCCGGAAAAAACGCAATTCGCTGCAATCCGCGCACACAGAAGGAATAAGAAGAGGAGAAAGAAGCCATATTTGAATCATCTTGTATCACAAATCAAGCCTTTGTGGTGCATTAACAGTTCCATGTGACACTTCCAGCTTCTAGACGTTTCCAGAGTGAATGCAGGCGGAGGAGGATTTGGTGGGATGGTCCTTCAGAAAGGCTCAGAGCGTTAAAAGTAACAGTCCTTCGACGATATTCACGATTCAACAATAATTAGTCATTTGTAACTTGATGGGATGCGACCGTACACAAAACACACGTCTGTGTATTCTCAGTGCTGCTGAGGCTTTGTGCTGTGATTTGGCTGCTAGTGGCTACGAAGCCAAACTATTTCAAAGCATACATCACTGTCACCAACGTCACTAATGAATATATGCAGTTCTGTGCTGTAGTGATAAAAACAATACAAAACAATAGTCTCACCTTTAGAGTTTCCTAGAATAAAATACTATAATATCACATGAAATTTTGGACCCCATCCTGCAACAACTCTGAATGGAGAAGAAGCAATTCTTTGAAAATGTAAATGATAATCATCAACCATAAGGTAGATTTAACAAAGTAAGTATTTAAGTTTAGAGGTTTTATTCGCTCTTTTCACATGCTGAAGACAATATATTTCAGAACCAACTTATAAAGGGTACAACAGTACGCTACCTAACACATTTAAATAATTGAATTATTGTATAGGAAGAGAAATATGGAAATGTTAAAAATGAACTTTGGATCAGTGTGATTTCAGCTATGCTAAAATGAAGGCAGCAAAAACAGAGCTTTCTTTGAACCAGCGACTGCATTTTAAAACTGACCTCACAGCTTGCTACAAAAAATAATCTCAGTTCAGCTACAGTTTTCCTGCTGCTCTGCACAGCCAGCAACCCACCTGGTTCTCCAGGTGTCTGTAATCCAGTCAGCCACAGCTCCACATCCCATCGGTGACCCATTCAGCCCAACAGC